AACATGAACATGAACATGAACATGAACATGAACATGAACATGAACATGACATTGAAAATGTACATGAAAATGAACATGAAAATGAACATGAACTTGAACATGAACATGAACATGAACATGAATATGAAGGTGTAGATAAACATAAACATAAACATAAACATTAAAAGCGATAGAGACAAAGATAAAGAGGAAGAAAGTGATAGGGATAAATAGGAAATACAACTGAAGAATGTGCGATGTTATATTGTGATATGTTATGCTACATATGTTATGTTATTGAATCTAATGCTATTCTATGTTATGTTATGCTAAGTACTAAGCTAAACTCTCCTCCACTTAACCCATTCCAACAAATTTTATTTCAGCTCAACTCAACTCACATAAACTATCCTTAATTTTAGCGGTTGAATTTCAACCGCTGGGCGAACACTAGTAATAATAATAATAGATTGGCGCTTACACATACGTTAGTGTTTCGCCGAGCTTCTCCTCGATTTGTGGCGTGCGCATTGATGTTGTCATACAAAGAGGAGGGACTTACAGTTTTACGCCGACTCCGAACGGCGATTGTATTTTTTATGAGAAGCTGTTTTTCATGTCAGAAATACACTCGGAGGTTTGCCATTGCCTGCCGAGGGACGACCGCTGTTAAGAAAGAACCTTTTTTCTAATTTTTTTTTGCGATGTTGCTTTGACCATGGCTTGAACCCAGGTGCTGTGGAGTGGAAGCGCGCACTGCTTACCACTACACCACAGCGGCCGACTAGTTAAATAGCAGACACTATTTTGTTGAGGTCAAAATGGACAAATTTTATTGGAGAATAATATACTTTTTCTATTTTTTAACTTCAGAAAAAATATTTAAAAAACGTGAATTATAATTATGAAAATTGAATTTATTTTATTTTGTACTTTATACTAAAACAATTTTTAATAATTTTTTCAATAGTTTTATGGTTACATTTTTTTATTAAATATGTATTTTTTTAATAGTTTTGAAATAAGGCATCATAATGAAAAATATGAGTTAAAAAGCTGGTAGCTTGAAAGAAATCTATTTATTAAAAAAAAATTATAATTTCCTTATTTTATACCAAAATCCATAAAATTGTTTGTACACTGATATTCTGCCCGTAACAGTATATAACTATATATTTATGCCATGTATATGTTATCTGAGTACTTTTATCATATTTATAAATCTAATAAACATTTGTTTTTTTTAAATCGAAACTTTTTGGTGCCGTAATTTAAAATTTTCCGCACTTCCAATAGTAAAACAGTATTTACACAGATTCAAATGTGCATGCTGAAAGATATTTTAAGTCCCGCTTTAAAAAAAATGCATGAACTTCAAAAACAAATTTATCTTAGACAAACCCCGTATTAAACATATATGCGCTACATAGTATATATATCTACATATAACCGAACTAAACATTTAACCCAAACACTGGTGCCTTTTTTACTTGCGTGATAAGGCTTTGAAACTTTTCCTTTACACAGAACCTAATAAAAATTATTTCACCAAAATCTCAAATATAATAAACAGCATTGGTTTTGGACTTCTCTAAAAAATTCCTTATTAAAACTTAGCGTGTGGATAACTGGATATCATTGAATTTATCTAACAATCGTGAGTACAATTTTGAAAGCAAATAGTAGCGCTATTTTCCAAAAAGAAGTGAGAGCGAGAGAGCAGAAGACGCCCAGTTTGTGTCAAGGTTTTCCGCGAGTGTTTTTAGGTCACCAACTAAGAGGCGTACTTGGAAGCAGAAGATCTGACATCAGAAAAATTCAATTTACAATCGGTTTCTTATACCCAAATGTACGTACTATATGACACTGTAGGGACGTTAAGATGACAAAAAAAAACGCCGAGGCCCATACCGTGCACCGTTTTTCCTGAGTAGGTCATTTTATATAGATCCCATGTAAAAGGGATCAGCCAAATATGGCTATAGCTTGCATATCTGCTTAGAAATTGAGTAGAAAAGTTTATGGTTTATTTCCCAGTCTTTCGATGACACAACCCACCGATATCGGTACTTGCACCTTGCTTCCCCGTTCGTTCTACTATTACGTTATGAAATAAACTAGTTTTTAAACTTTCCATACTGAGCGTATCATGATATTAGTGAGAAGTATTGTCGTATCTTATGGTAATATCCGATCAAGTCCTTAGCCAAAAGTTCAATGTAAAGCACACAGAGGTTATCCTAATATTACCGAAATAAAACTTTATATCAACGACCTTCCCATTATCTTGTCTTTTAAATAACTATGAAGAAGAGCTAAGCCTAACACATGTAAGGAACAAGCACTGCCGACCAGCTATTGCGCGTTGTCGAAAGTTTTATCTTTCGTCTATAACTACGTCTAAATCTGTATATATTTGCTTATAGACTCTATCTTTTTGGCATTACTTTGGTGTTCTAAAGGCATTCCTGCGTTCTAATTACTAATTTTCTCCTGTTTTTTATTTTTGCTGAACGATTTTTGCAAAAACCAAATTTAGGGCCGAATTACACTAGCCATAATCATAACGCCATAGCCATAACTTTACCTAATGATTTAGAGCTGCTTATGGTTATAGTGACAAAAAACAAAACTCAATAAATACCTACGGTTATGGTTATGGCTAAGACCTTATGATGTGGTATTAGTAATGGTTTACAAATCTGCCTCTACGCTAGATCAGAACAGATGATTGCCGTGGTTATGGCTGTGATACGGCGAAACTATTTGGGCCTTTATTTGTTGGCAACCCAGCAAGTAATTACAGTCTTTCAGACATCTGGCAATGCAGAAGCAGTAGGCTCAAGTAGCACACTGGTGCATAAATTGGTGTAGATTTACGAATTTCGGTATAAATCTGATTAATTGCACCAAAATCCACAAATTTACACCAAGTTATACACTAGTGTGCTACTTGAGAGGCACTCTACCTAATGGTGCGACGTTAATAAAGGAGGTATCTGTTCAGGGTCCTGAGCTCATTAAGAGCGCGCTCAAAATTGATGTCAGAGTGCCTCAGCTTTCTTTAATTTCGTCGGAATATTAAAATTATGTTGGTACCAGGCCACAGTCAAGAATGATAGAATACAAGATTGCGCCGATCAGATAGGATTTTTGAGAATAACTTTTGTGTGACGTCACACTGGCGCAATTGCGAGAGAGAAATGCCAAACGTGAGCAAGAATTGAAGAAGAAGAAAAAATGTTGCAAGGAAAACGTAAACAAGTTGCACAAGTGTGACGTCATGCAGACAACGATTATGACAAATTCGTTAAGAGAGGAATAGCGGTCCGAGATCGGCGCAACCTTTGTATTCTCTCAATCGTGGGCCATAGTGATATTTTGGTAATATGCATGTCAGATGAGTTGGAAAGAAAAGATATCCTCAAAACGATATACCCAGGCAGGGAGAGCCACATACTCTCTATGATTTTACTCTCCAGCAGATGTAGCTCATGCCAGCTTTGAGAACGCTGAGCGAAATCTAGGTTCATTTGGGTACGTTGGGGTGCGGTTATGGGAGCTTTTTGTCATTTAATAGTTACAGCGAGCGGCAAGTCACTCCCCGAACGGGATTCTAGAAGTGATAATAACATTGACGTCCGATCATAACTGCCGACGCGTCGTTGCCTGCATGTTGATAACGTGGAATGAGAGCAATATTTTTACTAGTCAGTTCAGCTTTCGCGACGTTAAGATTCAATACTATTGGCTTATACTTAATATCCTACTCTGAAGAACTCTCGGGGACCGGTAGTAGCTGATTTTGCAATTTTCTGTTTCGTTCGCTGCGCATAAACATAAAAGCAGTGGTTATTGCCATGAGTACTAATCAATGCATCCTAATAATATGTATGTATATAAATAATCAAATCTAGAAACAAAACTCTTTGAATCATATAATCCATTAAGTTTTTATCGTTTAAATATTTTTGCATGTCATTTTTTGTGTTCAAATAATAATCATACAAAATTTTAAATATCATACATATATATTGAGAAATATACATAGAAATTTAACCTTTGCTGGGGTAAGTACCTTTTGTATGTACATAAACATTATTCTCTCGATGTTGTTAAATTTTCTAAATGTGCCAAAAAATATTATAGAATTTACGTAAATATGGTTTTTTGATAATCAACAAAGGATAGTGCTAAAATACTGCTAAAAAGGAATCACAACTGTCAGATACGATTCAACTTGCATAGAAGTCCCACTCGACAACCGACTGCTTCCTCCACTAGGTACTTGCGAATTCTTGATGTTGTTGTTGTTTATCTAAGTATATTATAAAAAAAAAATAAATACTTGATGTTGTTGCTCTATTTGATGTCATTGATGTTGTTGATGTTGAATGTTGTTGATATAAGAAAAATAAATAAAAACGTGATACAATTTTTGAGCGAAAAAAGGAGTATGCATAAAATTATACTAATTTTGTAAATGTATAAGACTATGTTAAATTAAAAAAAAAAATACAAAATATGGTAATTTTCGATATTCTTGTTGTTGTGATATTTCTGCTCACTTTTCTAAAAAAAATACTAATTTTTTGAGAGCAAGCTATTTTTCAATTTATAACGGTTAACTGTAATTTATCCAATGTATTATACAAAAATATCTATAAATGTGTATGTATGTATGTATGTATTAATACGTGTTTACTTACAATTCTTGATGTTGTTTCTCAATGTTGTATTTGTTGTTGCTGTTACAAAAAAGAAAAAAATTGCAAAGGAATTGATAACCAATGTTGCTGAAATTGTTGTTGTGTGTTACTTTTCATCTACCTCAACTTCGTTGTTGCTCTCTTTATTGTGCCTTACCAGCTTACAAACAAACAATCGAACAAACAAACCAGCTTGCAAACAAACATATTTACTTAGTTCCTTTCTGCGCATTAAACATTTCATTGCAGATAGCCACGACGACGACGACGACAACGGCGACTGCTCTGAGGCCATTGGTTGCAGCCACAGCCAGTGTTGGTGTTGATAATCACTGCAGTAGAAATTACAACAGCCTTAGCATGCCCAACAACAACAGTTTCTACAATAACAACAATCACTGCAGACGCCTTCAGCCGTACGTTTTGGGTATGGCACGCCTGCGACTTGAATTGCAAAAGCAGCAGTTGAAGCAACAGCAGCAGCAGCGACTATATAGCCAACAGCTAAATGGCAACATTGCCCTCACGCCGATGTCGCTAAGTGCCACACAATCACAAGCACAAATGTTGCATGTATTGCAGTTGCAGCGAATGCGGCAATTTATAAGACAACGGCAACAAGTACAACTGCAGCAACAGCAACAGCAACAGCTAACGCAACAACAAAAATGTGAACAACTCGAGCAAACACAACAACAGCAACAATTTAAACTCAAATATCACCAACATCAAACATTGCAACAACAACAACAACAGCAACAACAACAGCTTTTGTTGCCCATTAATTTAGTGCCGCGCATTTCGAATTGTTTTAGTAGTAGTAGTATTGGTAAACGCAATGCGGCTGCTGTTGGTGCTGCCACTACCGTCGACGGTGGTGATGGTTGTGGTGGTGGTACTAGCAGCGGCTGCAATGCTTCTGCGGTCGTAAGGAAAACGACAAGAGCCGCAACAACAACAACAACAACAACATCTACAGCAAGAAGCATATTGCTAACACCGTCATATTTAAAATCCATTGTTAAGCTTTGCTAACAACCATTGCGCACATCGTTGGCTGCGGCGACGACGACGATATCGGTAGTATCGACAACAAAAGCACTACCGACAAATATCACCAGCGATGTTGCAAATGCGTCAGCAAAAGCGTCAACAAACGTTGACTTCGACAATGGCGGCAATAGGGGTGTAGCGCCGGGTGTTAGCGATGGCGTGGATTCTGTTGCAGTTAAGGAGGTAAGCCATTGCTTGTAGTACATTGAATAACAAACTAGTACATCTATGTACAGTGAAATTTCTCATAACCGGGCACTTACCGTCACAGCGGTGATAAACATTCATGTTATTATTATATCTATATATATCGATGGCCCTCTGCAATAACGACAAAATTCAAAATTCAAAAAACAAAAACTATTACTACTGACTACCTACTACTAATTCATGCCATGTTTTTATGCAAAAAACACTAAAAATAAGATAATTACCAATGTCTGTTTATTGCTTAAGGCGTTTCAATGGTTTCCTTGATTTATATTTTCGTGTATAAGACTCTTATAAAAAAAAAGAAATATTTCCGGAATGTCCCTTTTAGCTTTAAAGAGTTTTTATTTCGGGTGGGCTTTAGATTGGTAACCCCGGAGTGCAGTTTTATAGAAAATATGGGAGGTTGAGGGGGGTCTAGAAGCTCCCTGTATAAAGTTTCAAAGCGCCCAACCTTATCGTTTTTAAGGAATTTGTTGTTAAAGTTTGTAATTTTAACTAACTTTTACGGTGCTATTTTACAATATATAATGCACTTGCCACTAAATTTACACGTTATTTACACTCAATATATGTGCAGTTAGAGTGTGCACGATCAAACAAATAAATACTTTTAGTTATTACAGCTTTTTATGAAAAATTGATCGTTGTTTAATTATTATGAGAGTACATGCACAATATTTGTAAATGGCAGCAGGACTGTGTGCTAAAAAAACCAAGGGTGGAAAGTAAGACCAAAAGAAAATAGGATTAAAAGGAAAATACGATAAGGTTCTTTTGTTTAGATAAAAATAAATAGTAGGGGGATTGGGGTCATAATCCCCCATAAAATACTGAAACACATTTTTGAGGTTTGTATGCATATTTTGATAGATCGCTCTCACCCGCTTCGCTGAGTATATGAAATTTCTACGTGCTACATTGGGTAAAATTTATTTCAAGAAAACTCAATTAAAAAAGAGGAGGTTTAAAATTTGTGTGTTTAAATAATTAATTGTCCTTAATAATAATAATAATAATAATAATAATAATAATAATAATTAATAATTAATTTTCTTTAAATAATTTCAAACTACATAAAACTTTCTTTCTCACTTATCATACTTTTTCAATTAACTTATTCCCTAAACTCAATTTGAGATTTTAAACGGATGGAAACCAACATGTAGTTTTTATACCCAAATTGTAATAATTCATTTAAATTATTAATAGTTTGAATTTAACCTTTAAGTTGGCAACCTTTTAAGACCTCTTTCGTGTGACACTCATACATATTGTGATACATATTCAAAACCATCTCGATTCATACCAATTTATACTATTATATATTTTGAAATCCGTTTTTTTTGTGTTCGCAAAGCTCGAGAACGGCCGAACCGTTTGTTTTTTTTAATTTCGGACACCTGCTTCAGACGTCCCAATGATGGTTATAGGGTAGTTTTTAATTTGGCGTGGCACCTCCCATACAAAGTCTATGTATACTGGATTTCTGTAGAACAATTATGCGCATCCATTTTGAAGTTGCCACCAACAATACCATAAAGATTCTGGGGCAGATTCACTATAGAGCCAGATCATTGTTGCCACCAGAGAGTGAAGAGGAAATGTTCTTAAAATTTATTTCGTGTGAGATTAACCGTTCCATGAAATGCTACACAATTAGAGAGAATCAAGGACTTTTTCACGGACATAGCATTTTCGTTAGATTAAGGCGGCAAAATACCACCAAACCATAATCTTAGGCAATGAGCGTGCCAATGGGACCCGTGAACGTGAATTGTTGGTGAAAATGTTGGACCAAAATGTTTCAATGATGAAATTAAATTTGGGCGGGACGAAGTTTGCCGGGTCTACAAGTATTATAATATTTCATTTAAGCTAATTGAATTTAATTTGAAAAATGTGGCAACCCTTGTGAAAGACTTTAATATTATTCAAAACTTTCAAACTAAAGGTTTCTTAACAAAATTTCGTTTGACAACCATATTTTAATTCTTCAGATTAATTTAAATTTTGACTTTTCAAACAGGTGGAAAACCTTTTCAAGATACATTCAAACTACAGCTTTTTTAATCCTCTTGACATCCAATTTTTTATATCATTTTCAAATAAATAACTTCCTTTAATTAATTAATTAATTAATCCCAACGTCTTTTTACCTTCAGTAAGTAGTAGGGGTTAGACATGAATTGGACAAGGATTATGGACATGACCCACTTTATTGTGTCATATTGTTTAATGTGTTAAAAAGCTAAAAAATAAGTTATATTTTTGTAATTATTTCGAATGCGCAACAAGTTTTAACGCCTATTTTTTCGATATGCAATTCACATGCAACTTATCTAACAAACTGAACGGAAAACCCGTCTTTTGTTTGACACGTACGACACGAATTTATGCATACATGCTAAAAGAGGAATCATCCATTTCAAAAAACTAGAAAGTTTTTTTTGCATTTTTTTTTTTTAATTTAGTTTGCTTATAAGAAATGGTTTGAAATATAGGGTCCGCTGCCGGTTTACAACCAAAATGTTCTATGGATGCCCCTATCCAATTCCTATGTAGAATTCCTCCGTCATTCCGAAAATCGATATAATTTTTTTTCTATGGATATTTGCAATTTACCGTTACTCAGCTTTAAAAAATAATGCTTTCACTATATAATATATAGTGAGATATACGTACGAACCAATTGAATAATCGTAATACGAGGTGCGGGAAGTAAAAGCAAATAAAATTCTCCATATACTGTGTTAATATCACTTTCCGATAGCCCTCTCAAGTAGCACACTGGTGTATAGATTGGTGTAAATTTATGGATTTTGGTACAAATCTGATTGGATTGAATAAAAAAGAACGTTTTGGTGTATTTGTTATTCCACCAGTATTTCTTTCAAATCAAAATTCTACCTTTAACATTTTGGTACTATTTATTCATTGAGATTAGTACGAAAACTACACCAGCTCCTAAAATGCGCCACTTTTTTCATTTGGTTCACAAATTGCTCCACGTTAACAAATGTCATTAAAATTATTCAGGCGACATTCTGAGTAGTGATGTGCTGAATTCTCGGTACCCAATACTTGAAAAAAATTTCGGTACCCAATACTTCCTTTTCGGTACCCGATACCGATTCTACACACTAAAATTTCGTCATTATATCTGTGCCGTTCAATTAAAGTAGCTTAAGTCACTTTAGATGGTTTGACTTTGAATTAAAAAAAAAAATCAGTTTCCTTTGAAATTGTTTTATATTTTCATTAAGATTCTAATATAGGGGCATCTTGGTATATTTAATACACCAGTGGTGAAATATGCATCAATAAGGCACCCCTACACGCTTAAAGTTTGTTTGGGTACTAATGATTCAACATCATGCCTTCACAAATGCAGCTATAAGTTGCATAGTATATATGAGTACGAACAACTGCGACAATTTTTTCTACATAACATAGGCGAACGCTGATTTTATTTCTTCTTTTCGTACGCGAACGTTAACAAAACATGTTGAAATGTATACGTTCGCATTTGCGTTCGAATAATGGACGTGTGGTAGGCGCTTAAACTTCTCTCAACTGTGTACATTTGGCAAGAAACATTTTTTATACCAAATTCTCAAACTGAATTGTGTCTAGGGCAAAATAAATACACCGTTCTTGGCTTGGTAAATATTTTTGTACCAAACTCAAGAATCTGTGTAAGTTTTCAACGACGACCATATTTTCAAAGTATTATAAAAGTAAGGCTAAGTTCACAACCTAGAGTAATAGCGTTACGCGATGCAATGGAAATCGCTCAATCCAAAGAAACTTCTTCGCCAGCATAATCGCTGGCGATTAAAAAATAGCTAGTGTTTAAATTGCAGCAAAATTATACACGACTAATTTTTTATAATAGGGGAGTTTACGATGAGTAGCATTTTAGATTTAAAGTTGCTACGTACCAATCTAGCACATATTTTGATGTTGGGAAAGCAACAAAACGTGTGATACATTGCTACGTAGGGATTCCCCTAATATACTTTTTTTGTTTCCACAACCCTTTGACAATTTATACCGAAACTTAAGCATATTGTATTGTATATAATAGCAGTAGAAGAGATGTTTAATTTATTATATAAATATGTACATATGTTTTATTTATTTGGGCTTTAAGTATGAGAAAAAGATTTTTTTAACAAACTGCATAATTTTTATTTGTTTGCACAGCGATAAACACCAAGGACTGTGTAAATGTTGGTTAGAAGCGATTTTTATGTATTCTCGCTAACTTAGCCTAATACTGAAACTCAGCTGAACGCCATATTAAAGCTGTATGACTATTATTTAACTAATTTAACAATTTCATTATGTACATTGGCTCAACTATGCCACTTTATGTGTATTTTCGAACCTTTTTTAAACAGCGCATCTCTTAAAAATTGAATAATGGCGAAAAATTCATTGCTTTCAAAATATAAGTTTTCCCAGATTTATTTAAAAATCTTAAAATCCTTATAAATTTTGAGGCGCACGAGTTTTAGAGGGGTAGTACCGAAATTCACTCGACAGAATGAACCTCGTTTTTAAATTAGGAACTCACAGTCATATATATTCGCGATTTTCTTGCCCGCATATTACGAAAAGGAATGCGGAGATTTATAAAAAGAATTCCAAGTTGTGCAGATTAAAAAAGAGCTTCGGTGTAAATTTTATGTCTGAGTTAATTTTAAATTTGATTATTAGTAAATTTGATTCCTCCAATCTTTTCGTACTCTTCACACTCATGGGAA